ATGCTTTCATCTAAATAGCTTCCCAAAAGCTGTGGGGCAGTCAAAGTCACTACAGAGAAACCAACTTATACTCTAGGAAGTTTTACTAAGTGCTATCCCTTCCTTTCTTTTACAGTCTAAAGATAGGATTGACCAATGATGATACAGCTGGTCCAAAATGAGACGGTGATGTCTTACCAATCAAAAGGCAGGCTGGGTACAGGGATTTGTCAGAAGGAAAAGTTCAGACACAAAAAATGTCAACAAATGCCACAAAACAGAGAAAGCTTCTGTGGTCTGGGATGTGGGAAGGTATAATCAAGCAGCCTTTAGCTTTCATTTATATAGCCAGGACTCCTGTTGACAGATTTTTCAAAGGAATGTCGTTTTAAACTTCTCACTTACCATTAACTTTAGTTTACAAAGACCCAGAAAAGGCATTTCCTGCATATATTTCTTAAGAATGAGGAATAGCAGGGAGAGGTCTTTGCACATCTTAACTTCAGACAGATATACTATCTGGCCAGACTAGTAGAAACTTGGAAAAGGATGGCATGGCCTTTTGTGATGAAATTCTGACAATCTGAATGAGGGAATACTGAAAGGAGTACTCTAAACTAGTTATTGTTGAAGTCTCCTGTCTACCTGTAAGTACGGCAAGAGCTGAGAAAAAAGGTGTAGCTCAGAATCCTGGTAATATATTGGGAGATTTGATGAGTCAAGAAAGATCATGAATTTTTGAATAGGCTGATCTTTATTTAACACTGGGGTTTTCTGCTGAGGTAGGCTTTAATTATCTCCCACAGCAAAAACCAACCCTGAAAACAGTAATCTATAACTGTAGTCTTAGGTAAAGAGTGTGTGGCTAGGCTGGGTGTGGTGGCATGTGCCTGTAATCCCAGCTACTTGGGAGGCCTTAGGTGGGAGGCTCACCTGAGCTCAGGAGTTTGAAACTAGCCTGGGCAACATAGCGAGACCCTGTTTCATTTTAAATAAATAAAGTGTGGATACATTTTGTGCATCTCCCAGAATTATGATGTTGGCCCACAGCCAAAGAAGGAAATGCTAATGAAATGTTACTGGAGGTCTTCAATAGTATTCTGGGAAAAGGTATGAATGGTAATCACAAAAGCAAGTACATCTCTGGTAGTTGAGCTGTCAAAACCTTTAATTGGGAGACTCATCTCACATTGTTGTACCAATCAAATTATAATTGTTGGTCAAACTGTTCACCCTATGCAGAACTCCCCTCTACAACATCTCTGAAAGATGCCAATCCAGCCACTGTTTGGATACTTCCAGCCAGTTCTATCGCAGAATAGATTGTTAAAGGTAGTCTGATTCCTTGTAACCTTTCACCTAATGGCCTTATTTTTGACTGCCAAAGCCACACAAGTCATATCCGCTCACTCTTCTACATGATTCTTCCATATATATGAAGATGGTAATGTAATATAGTCTTCTTTCATCTGTAGAATAAGCAACTCCAGTTTTCATATCTGTTGCTTGTACAATAAATTCCAGATGCTCTAATTCCACTTTCCTCCTCTGAATCAAAAAAATTCCCTCTTATATGCAATTAGTACAATTGAATATAATATTAATAATTCAAGTTCAGTCTAACTGGTCCAATGTACATGGCTTAGTGCCATACTCATGTACAAATACATGACATACTACATATATAAAACAAGTGTTACCTTGTTTACCTAGGATTCTACAATATTAGCACTTTTTCAACTTGTCATTCTCTGTATTATTTCCTTTCACTGTGTAAATACCTGAATTTCTTGAACTTAATAAATAATTTTACATTTTTCTCTACTGAATGATACCACTCTACGCACTCCAAAGATTATTTAAGATTCTCAAGCCATGGAGTTCTACCGCCTCCCCAAGAGTTCTAAGATGTAAGGAATGCCATAGGTTTCTTTCTTTTCTATGATGGGTACCAACATGACTTTCCCCCAAAGTTTCTGTCACCTCTTCTTTATTTTTCAGAAATAAATTCAGAAAAGCAGAGTCTCCTTTACTGAAATTTGATGTTTTCCAGGGGATTACACTGTCAAGAATTTCACATACTTTTGCTTTTAGTAAAATGAGAGCAGCATTCACCCTATCACCAACTTGCCTCTACAAGTTCTGTGACGTTTCACAAAAAAATCATTCGTATCTTGTGGATATGTCTGTGTGTGGTGGAGGGGCAGGCAGTGGGTTGAATGAAAAGGAAGCAATTTTCATAGTAATTTTTCTCCTAAGAAATTACTTCTTAAATCACATATCTAGAAGAAAACTATATAATCTAGCTCAATAATAAAAAACACCTAGAAGAAAAATTCCTGTTTATGCTGATTACCTTTTTCATTAACTAAACTTAACTCCCTTGGGGCTAGCAGTTGAACTAAATATTTTGGATGAAAAGACAAATCAAATTTTTTATAAACTGTTCTTCATTTTCTGTGGTCTGCACACACCTCTTATTCCTAATGTTCCTTGGGAAGCAAAACAATAAGACAAAAACATGCCAGTCACCCAATAAAACCTCCAAACTTTAATCAGTTAAAAAAATTTTAAGGCCGGGCGCGGTGGCTCACACCTGTAATCCTAGCTCTCTGGGAGGCCGAGGTGGGTGGATTGTTTGAGCTCAGGAGTTCGAAACCAGCCTGAGCAAGAGCGAGACCCCCGTCTCTACTAAAAAAACAGAAAGAAA